CTATCAATTAAATTATAAAATTTAGAATTAATAGTTATCAACAAAAGTGTTGAAGAGGTTAGAAATTCAACATTCTTTTTCTCTAGAATCTTTACATAAGATATTCGTAAAAACTCTGGCAACCTTTTATATGCATCAAAGGGTTAAGTGAAATCATCACAGAAGCAGTATGTTTAATATGATATATGATTGTTATGTAGGAAATTAATTTACGCGAAGGAAAATTGAAAATCCTAAACTGAAATCCTGATTGATTGAGCGGAGTTGGAGGGAAGGGGAGGAGAAAAAGGAAGAATGAAGGGATTGCTCCTCGATTGAGCGTATGGGGTTGATATCGATCCACCCCTACCACGGATTGTCGTGCGCGTTTCCCACCAGCTTTCCCCTCTTTCTCTCTTCCCGGTCCGGCGGGCACCACCCTCCACCCTCAGTTCGGATTCCTCCAGCTCTCAGCGCCGACCGGCCGGGTTGTCACTCGGCCCGGGATGCCATGCCCGAGGCCACTGCCGGTTCCTCTGGGAAGTCGTTCCTGCAGCGGGCGCGGGACAAAGTTCTCCGCTGGCTACAACGCTCCCTGCGGACGACGCACCAGGTGAATGTGCTGTCCCATCTCTAGAAAGGCCGATCACCCCAATTTTCTTCGCGGTTCGTGCGATCGAATAAACTATCAATTAAGACGAAATTTTTCGTATTCATTCCGGTATTCTCTTTCAGCTGTTTTTGAAGTATCCCTTTGCGATTTTTGTGAACATATTGTTTAGTGGAGTATAATGTAAGAAATTTGAAACTTCTGTGATGATATCTATGTGGACTTTGAAAGGAGTGGAGGCCGTAAAAACTTCATAAAAAAGATTTAAATTTTCCTTGTTAAAAACTACGATCTTTGAAATCCAGAATGAAATTGATGAAATTTTAGTAGAATTCACTAAAATCGAAGAGATTCCAAGATATTTTTAAATACTTTTTAATAAAATAGAAAGATATTTTAATTTTCTCTCAAATATTTCTTAACGTTATTATGAGTAAAATACAGTAAAACAATGTATAGAATAATGTACGTTATTTATCTTTATTTATTTAAAAAATATTACGTAATCCATAAGAGATATATAGACTCCAACATATTTTGCTTGCACTAATTACTTATTATCAAAATCGCAAATCATGAATTAACTAAATAGATGTTGACTTAGGATGATATTAAATAACGACATTTCTTCCAAAAATTATTTTATTTATTTTTACTTATTATAAAGAAAAATATATATTTTTCTACGTTCATATGACATACGAAAATGTTGCAAGAAAGTCTACTCGTAAAACTCCAATGTAATCTTGTCGCAAGATTAGAGCACTTGTTGTATCCTGTGTAATGAAAGAGTTATATTTTTTTAGTTTAGTTTTACCAAGTTCGCGGACGAACAATACGTAATATGAATTTGGTGGATGACTATGTCGTTCGTTTTGATGATCGTACCAGATGACGTGCCAGATTAATTCGGTGTTGTTTTGCTAGTGCGGCGCATAATAAAAAGTTTTCAGTGTGTTTTTATCTTTTTCTTAATATTAAAACGATATACACTACTCAAAAAATTTATAACATAGAAAAATTTTGGGCAAAAATTGATAAACTTCGGATGATAACTCCGCGAAAAATCGTAGGATGATGAACTTTTTTTTAAATTAAAGTTTGAAGTCTCTATTTTAAGGTATATGGGTTGATTTTAAATTTAATGCATCTTAAATCTGAGAGCATGTTTGCCATACTAAAAATTGCAAAATTTGACGGAATGTACGGACTTGCTAAAAATTTTTTCGGAGATGCCGTTTGCACCGTCATAAAACTTGAACCTTTCTCTTTAATTAAAAAATAAGCAAGTCGCTTCATATACAGTCGGTATTACTCGATGTGCACCATAAGGAGTTTGGCGATTAGATTTTGCACATCATGTGTGTATGTGTGTTTTATACACGCGTGCACGCACACAATGTGCAAAATCCGATCGCCAATCTCCTTATGGTGCACATCGAGTAATACCGACTATATATGAAGCGACTTGCTTATTTTTTAATTAAAGAGAAAGGTAATATCGACCATACATAAGAAAATACAAGGGTTACTTTCAAATGTTGTAACTTTGTGAAAAAAAATCATAGCGACTTGCTTTTTTTAAATTAAAGAGAAGGTTCGAGCTTTATGATGTTGCAAACAGCATCCCCGAGAAAAATTTTAGCAAGTCCGCGCATTTCATCAAACTTTGTAATTTTCAGTATGAAACACAAACATGCTCTCAGATTTAAGAGTTTACAGTAGCAGAGATGCATTAAATTTAAAATCGACTCATAATACTTTAAAGTAGAGATTTCAAGCTTTAATTAAAAAAAAAAGTTTATTATCCTACGATGCTTTTTCGCTGAGTTATCGTCAATCAAAGTTAGCCAATTTTGCCCAAAATTTTTCTATGCCATAATTTTTTTGAACAGTGTATTTTTATGACGCTTTTAGGTTTAAAATCGTGCTAGAAGTATACCGGTTTAATGTCTTGCAATAAAAAAACTTAAACTCTTTATTGGAAAAACATATTCATCTCCGTGCGTCAAATCTGTCGCGATACGAAGCAGGATTTTGACAATGTGTTACAAAGTGCAGGATCGATTCTCAATGGCTCTTTGACCATTGTGAATAAACATTGTGTGCTTGACCTGAACAGATACGTTAACAACGTATTTTTAAGCCTGTATGAGAACATGAAACTCGATGAGAATAAATTCCAAAGCAGATTTTAAAACGAGATCGATAATAAAATTGCGCTGATGTATACCTTGATTGCATAGACAATCTTTTTGTAATCTTTTTTAAAAATACTCTTTAAACAAAAATTTTGTGAATAAAGTTCGTGCATCCGAAATCATTAAATTATAATTCTTTTCTCTTATATAATTTCTTTAGCCTTTTAAGAGGATGCTGAATACCGACATTTGCATTCTAAGTAATAACTCCGAAACGACTGAACGGATTTGAAAACGCTTTTACAGGATTGAAATTGAGATAAAATGTAAACGCGCGA